GACGAGGCCTTGGGTGATATGGTTTAGAGCGAGGTGTCCCTGCCCATGGCAGGGGGGTTGGAACTTGATGATCTTAAGGTGCTTTCCAACCCTAACTATTCTATGGTTCTATATGGTCTGGAACATCCCTTTGGTCAGTCAGGATCAGCTGTCCCAGCTGTGCCCCCTCCCAACTCCTTGTGCACCTCAGCCTACTTCCTGGTGGGGTGAGGAACAGAAAAGGCCTTGACTGTGTAAGCCCTGCTCAGCAAGAGCTGAACCATCCCTGTGTTACCAGTTCAGTTTTCAGCACAAATCCAAAACACAGCTCCATACTTGCTACCAAGGCAAAAATCAACTTTACCCCAGCCAACACCAGTACAACCTTCATGAAGTGAGCAATACTAGAGCAATGCATTATCCTCATCCTCACCGAAAGAGGAAACCTTACACAGACAGCAGGGTCACAAGGAACTGCTCCTTCTCTGATTCATGGCATTAGCTCCTTTTGTATCATAGTGGTTTATGGCTGATTTTTCACCCTAACTGCTCACCTTGTCACTCAAAGCTGCCAACTTACCCGGTGAGGTTGCAGACCTGCTCAGAACCGCTCCAGCCTCAGCAGGCAGCACTGAATTTCCACACTCCTTTCCTTCCTTTCCCTTTTCCCTTTGTATTTTAAGGGTATCTGCACATTAACGAGCCCTGGGAATAAGCTGTTTTCAGGAGCACTTAAGGTGGTGAATAAACTCCCCCTGCGCAGCCTCTGGTTCCTTCCACTGATGCTCTTCCCACCCCTTTCCCACCGAGGCTGCCCACGAGACCAAGGACAGATTTTTACACTGATATGAAATTAATCCAAAGGACGTGTTTGTTTCTACAGGAAGCAAGGCTAGAAGCCACGTTGCTCGCTCAAGTTGAGGGACTGGCATAATACATCAACAGAGAGCATGCATCATAAAAGGTTAAGGAAAAGCAGTCACCTGTCGCCCATGAATGTGAATGAAACCTTTCACAGAAACAGGGCTTATAGAAAATCCAAAGGACTCCTTAGTTCATGAGAAAAATTTAATCTATTAAACCCCCCCTAAAAGTCAGCTTTAGATACGGACAACCTAACAGACCTTTGAAAGCCCTTACTGACCTGCTAGCTAGCTTTAAAACCCCAAGAATATTGGCTGACAGGTTGGGCTCAGACAGTAAACAGGGTCACCAGTTGAGTTCAGGAGAAACCTGAGTTTCAGGGCTCAGTTCTAAGGCACGTTCTCTCTAATGTTCTAACAAGTGATATAAATGAGACACAGGAGTTGAATGTACAGTATGTTTGCTGACAACACTCAACAAGGAGGAGCTGTGGACTCCCTTAGAGAGAGATATGGATTAGAGCTGGGCAATCACCAACCATACGAAACTTAACAAGAGCATCCTGGGATGGGATGATCCTGTGGTACGTACAAGTTTGGGGTCGAGAGGCTGGAGAGCATCCCTATGGAAAAAGACCTGGGGGTTTGGGTTGAGGGCAAGTTGACTACGAGTTAATGGTGTGCCCTGGCAACCAAAAGGTGTACCTGGGGTGTACCAAGCACGGCATGGCTGGACAGTCAAGGGAGGTGACGGTGCCACTTCACACTGCCCTGGTGCAGCCCCACCTTGCATATTGTGTGCAGTTTTGGGTGCCTCAGTGTAAGGACATCAGACTCTCATAGTGTGTCCAGAGGAAGGTGACTGAGTTGGTAAGAAGCCTCAAGGACAAGACTTACAAGAAGAGGCTGAGGTTACTTGACTTGTTCAGCCTGGAGAAGAGAAGGCTGAGGGGTGCCCTCATTGCAGTCTACAGCTCCCTCAAGGGGGGCAGTGGAGAGAAAGTGCTGATCTCGTCTCTGGAGGCCAGCTGTAGGATACAAGGAAAGGGAATGCAGCTGCATGAGGGGAAGTTCAGGTAGGACATTAGGAAAAGGCTCTTCTCTGGAAGGGTGGTTGATCACTGGAACCGGCCCCCCAGGGAAGTGGCCACAGCCCCAAGCCTGTCGGAGCTCAACGGGTGTCTGGATGATGCACTTAGTTTTAGGTAGTCCTGTGAGGAGCAGGGAGTTGGACTTGGTGATCCTTATGGCACCCTTCTGACTCGAGACATCATTCGATTCTGCGATTGTAAACTTAGGTCTTTACAGAAGGACACTTGAAAATCAAACACTTTTATCATAGTAAATTTAATCAGGCTTCTAACAAAAGAGACTCCTAACAAACTGTACAGTTATAATGAACACTTTTAATAAAAAATATATTAAACAGCATTTCAGGATTTTCCCACTAGCATTTCCAACCCAAAGCAGAAACTTTTGATGCAACACCCTGGAGGCTCTCAGTCCTGTAACAAGCAGTGAAGTGCTTCTGCCTCAGAGAAGGCTTTGCCTGTGGTTTCATGACAGATCTTGGCAAACCAGGTTGCTGCCAGAAGGGGCGGGTCAGATCTGACTAGTGTGCCACAGCAGGTTGCCTCTCTTCCCTTCTCTCCCTCCCCAGATTAGCATCCTGCAGGATCTGGGAGCTGATTCCCACTCACTGCGCAGCCCACACAATGCCGGGTGCCAACAAGGTAAGCTGCAGGTCATCTCCTTCGAGCAATGTGAACTCTTGTTGTAGAAACCAACAAAAGCCAACTGGAAAACCACACCCTGCCGACATTAAAGCTAATCGGGCACCTCAGGAATCTGATGCAATACACTTTTAATATACCCTATCGAGATTTGCATGTGTAAGATGCTGTGATACAAACAGTACCTTGTACATGCAAAATCGTTGCTATTCCCCTTACTTTTCTGCACACCATCCTGGTGAAACCTTGGAAGCTCTCTTGATAAAGGGGCTGAATTCAATGACTTTTTCCTTTCAAAATAATGTGCACTTTGGAAGTCTTTTTACAGAGTTTCACGTTTCTAAATGCAAACGTATGCAAAACAATCATGCTTATACTTACCTCTTTGTGTTTATGACTCAAATTATCCCCTTCCTAAAACATTCATAAAAAACAGAACATTATTAACATGTAAAGCTGCAGAGAATTCAACAGTCAGGATATCACCAATGAGTCTCAAGCATTTTTCACCTCTGAAAAGCAATCATGCAGCACTGGCAGCCTCCTGACCCTCCCCAACCACTCAACCAACTATAATCACTCTATCAGGTCAACAGGGATGCCAGACATTATCCAGAACCACCTAGGTGTGAAATGATGACGAATTTGGGGCCTTACAGTTCACTTGACATTAGACCTAATCCAAAGCAACTTGAAGTTCCTAAAGAGACGATCCTGCTCACTTTCCTTGTCCCCCCGAATTCCTGCTCCTTCTTAATGCCAGAGATAAAGATTACACACAGCCTCCTGTCTGTGAAAACTGATGGATGAGAAGTGGTGAAAAGTCTTAAGGGGGGCGACAGAGAGTAGAAGGGAGCTTTCCCTGCTTAGTGGTTACCTGCAGTTATACTCTGTAAGGTGCAGTCAAAAACATAACAAAGGAAACATTTAGTAGCAAACAGTAACAAAAAATGGGATTCATCCTACATAAAACTCAAACACAAGCAGGAGATACACAGGAGGTGGAAGCAGCGATAGGCCACCTGGGAAGCATATAGGGATGTTTTCAGAGTATGCAGAAATGTGACAAGAGAGCCAAGGCTCTTTTGGAATAATATCTGGCTAAGGATGTCAAGGACAAGAAGAAATGCTTCTTCAAATACATCAGTAATAAAAGGAAAACTAGGGAAAACATAAGCCTGCTACTGAATGGAGCAGGGATGCCCCTGGTGACAGAGGATGCAGAGACACTGAACGCCTTCTTTGCTTCAGTCTTCAATGCCAAGGTCAGCCCCCAGGAGTCCTTGACCCAGAAGATGAGGGGGAAGGTCTGGAGAAAGTAAGTCCTTCCCTTGATTGAAAAGGATTGGATTAGAGATCACTTAGACAAACGTGGTATCGGCAAGTCATGGGCTCTGACAGGATGCACCCATGAGTGACGAGGGAGCTGGCAAACCTTATTGCTAGGGCACTCTTGATCATCTTTGAAAGGTCATGGCAATCAGGAGAGGTGCCTGAGGACTGGAAGAAGGCAAATGTCACCCCAGTCTTCAATAACGGCAAGAAGAAGAAGCTTGGGAGCTACATATTGGTCAACTTCACCTCAATCACTGGTAAGGTGATGGAAGGGCTCATCCTGGAGGCCATATGGAAGGCATGTGGAAGATGAGGCAGCTATCAGGAGTAGTCAGCATGGATTCACCAAAGGGAAATTGGAAATAACCCCAGGCACCAGTACAGGCTGGGAGCTGACCTGATGGAAAGCAGCTCTGCAGAGAAGGACCTGGGGGTCCTGATGCACAAGTTGTTCATGAGCCAGCCATATGCCCCTGCGGCCAAGAAGGGGTTGGCCACACCAGCTGGGCTTCATCAGGAAGAGCAATGCCAGCAGGTCGAGGGGGGTAATCCTCCCTCTACTCATCCATAGTGAAGAATATTGTGCCCAGTTCAGGAGTCCTCAGTACAAAAGAGACATGGAGCTCCTGAAGCAAGTCCAGTGAAGGACTAGGGGAGTGATGAAGGGTCTGGAGCATCTCTCATATGAAGGAAGGCTGAGGGAACTGATCCCAGAGAAGACTCAAGGGATCAAATCAGTGTGTGTAAGCATCTGAAGGGAGGGTGTCAAGAGGATAGGGCCAGACTCTTCGTGGTGATGCCAACTGACAGAACGAGAGGCAATGGGCATAAAGCAGACCCCAGGACATTTCATATGAACATGAAGAACTTCTTTACTGAGCATTGGAGTAGGTTGCCCAGAGAGGCTGTGGAGTCTCAGTCCCTGGGGATATTCAAGATCCATATGGACACAATCCTAAGCAGTGTGCTCTAGGTGACCCTGCCTGATGGTGCATTAGATGACCCCCAGCGGTCCCTTCCAACCTCAAGCACCCATGACTCCTTGAATACTGCTCACTAGAAATGACTCATGACATGGAAAACACCAACATTTAAACAGCACTTGCAGAACCTGCAATTAGAACACAAGGACAGCACTTACACCAAGTAGCATTGCTCTGGCAGTCAGAGACTAGATATAACCCCTAGTGCAATTTTACAGAATGAATCTGAAGTTTAAAATTAAACTATAATAAATAATTTAAATCATAGCTGCTACCAATTTTGCAAGTCTTCCCTTCCTATGGTATATATGAAAACAAGACTTCCTTCTGTGTAAGTTGAAGAATGAAGAACTGCTTTTTTTTTACTTTAATAAAAAACACAGTGTTTGAAGTTACACTTATAAACATCAAAATGTAAATGTACATAAATCAGACTGAACAGTTGTTCCTAGGTAACTGTGTAAAGGCTTTAAAAATAGTTTGTCACTTTACAGCATTTTTGAAAAGGACATCCCTTCAAAGGAATATATGTCAACAAGTACAGGTAGGAAGAATACAATTGTGGGGACCACAGTGAACACGATATAGCCACCTGAGCTACTACAAAGGAGCGCAGGCCTTGGGTTCAAATCCCCAGCAAGATCTCCTCTTTCCCAGCAAAAAAGCAGGTTTATGTATTATGGCATACACAATGAAGAGGATCTAAAAGCATGTTTCTGTCGTTAGTATGAGCCTTCTTTGAAGGATTCTGATAGATCTTGATTGGCAGCATCGTACTGAGCAATGAAATTTTTGAGTTCTTCTATACACCGTTCACCTATTTCATGCAAATTCTGCCTCAGGGCAAACTGAATGGAATTCTCCAATGACGGATCTTTATCAATTAGCATCTTCACTACCATGCCAAAGGTTTCACAGTCTTGTCGGTAGATCTGGAAAGAACACATTTTAGAAAAGAATTAAATGGAACACTCTTTACATTAGCACACCAACAGCCCTCACTGAGTTAGGTGCTACTGCAGACACAAACCAAACAAAGAATACTGGAGTTAACAGGAGTCTCAACTGTAAGATGTATTTGCTTTTTCTCTTATGACGCGCACTAATACAAATTTAAGTAGTTCAGAACTATTTGGATACAAGAAATCACTCTTCTTGGAAAAAATGCCTTAAAAAGAAAAATGAAGTTCCTCTTGCAGCAATATTTAATACATAACGGCAGAATGAAGTGCAAATGCTTAACCAGATTTTCACTGCAAATATGGATAAAATTAATCGTGGCGTGTCTAGCAATCCCAGTCTTCATACAAAGCATCAGTAACTTAGATTGTAATCTTTCCTTATACTTTAAACACAAGTTGTGTTTAAATAATTTCACCAAATTACGTTTGTTTGGTGGATATTTGTTTCTCGTAGAAGTTATTGACAAATATGATTTTCATTACTTTGACTGCATTGGTGATTCAACCACTAAGGATAAGAGCAATCCTGGCAGTGGTTTATGTGAACCCATCTGATCTTACACTGCAGGGAACAAGAGTTGTGAGTCAGTTATGTACCGCAGTTGAGGAGAAGTAACTTCTCATTATCACTGCAATTGTTTTTCAGACAAACATCCAAGATGCTTTTAGGTGGTTTTCAAAGTGAGTCCTCCCAACTTTATTGTACTACTCCCAGATTCCAGCTAAGGTTATTAATCTAAAAACCCACCAAAAAAGGAACTTGTCAAAGTCTTCCAGCTGCCATATGCAGTTCTTTCTCACACCTCTTTGGCCAATTTCCATTTAGAAAATACACTGGTTTTCTGAGTGCAGATAAGTAACTTTTATAACGCTGTGCTTTCTGTGTGGGGGCGGGAGGGGGGCTAAAATGTTGATATACCTCAAAGTGTGATTATCTTTTAGCATTGGGTTCTTGTGTTAGAACTTGTTTTTTACAGAGATGTGTGACCTTTTCCTTCCACGTTTATCCATATTGCAGACCCACAAATGATACAATTGTATATACGCAATTTCCCACTAGTAAAAAAGAAGGAAAAAGACAAAAGAGCTCTCCCCCAACCAAACACCACCACACAGTTTTATTCATAAGGACCCGTCCAAGGGCAGCTCAAGCATATTCATTCCAGAGGAATAGTAAAGCAAACAAATGAACAAACATTCTGCCCACAAACTGTTCTCAGAAACACGATGATTTGACGTGATAGCCTTAACAATGACAGTTCTCAAGTGTTTAATGGTATTTTCTGTACCAACAGTAAGACCCACTTTTCAAACGCTGGTTGGCAAATAAAAGAAAACCTTTCGAAAGAAACTAATTTTCAATGGAGATTAAGAAGCCAAAAAGAGGACTGCAGTCCAAAACAAACCACAGCTAAACATCTTAAGTGTGGAAACGGTGCGCACATGGCATTCTTTCTGAGGGGTTTGTTTCCTCCTTTGTATGCTTTGTTCTTTGGTAGTAAAATATCAGCACAAACCCCAGACTCTCAGAGTTCACGTTCCACAGCAAGTAAACCAAGATACATGCTAAGAGAACTTCAAACGGAGTAAATTTGGGTTGCTTTTTCTCTGACTCTTTCCAAGGAAAAAGCTCAGGAAGAATTGCTGTCTCTGATTAGCCATATGACAGACAGATGGTATTTCACTCTGGATAACTCATGCCTTTCATGTACTTGCAGCACGCTTCCTAGCACCTTCACAGAATGATTGCTGAAAGGTTTTTTTCTCCCCAGAGCCATTATGTTTGGGGGGAAATAGTTAAAAACCACCTTTTTTCTCCTCTTCATTTTTTTCCTTATTGCAAGTCTATTTGTCCTAGTCTATCACCTTTGAAGTGGTCAGAACAAGGATGTGTGAATGATCTTCCACAGGTAAACGAACCTGGTAACTGTCAGTCTTCAGAGGATGCTGTGCAACACTGGCATGAATGAAACCCTGACGCTAATAGAGAACACAGACACATCAGCCCGTCTTCTGCACCAGAAGGCACCCATAGCTACAGCTGAAGGAAATGCTCTACTTTTAATTGGCCTTCAAATTAATAGCAAACTGTGCTATCTGCTATTTCTCTCGCACACCACAAAGAACTAACCCAGATGAAATTCTCTGACCCTTAGCATATAAATATTAGCTCAGTCTAAGCACATCTGTCCTTAAAACTTTCCCAAAAGAAGGCATGGAAGAGAATCAGGAGAGCTGATTCTCTGTCAGAAGAAAATACGCTGTCACTGTGTCTGGAGTCAGAAGTCACTTTTTGCTGTCACAACAATCTGGAAACCAACCGCCTTCACGTATAAGACGAATGCTTTCAATTCTTTGTGACAAAAGACTTTAAAAATAATAAAACAGAACTGACCTAAAACAGGGGAAGAGGGCGGAGGTGGGGCAGGAAGGCAGCTCTAACAACAGAAAACAAAGGAAACGGCTCAGCTCCTCTAACAATAATTGAGCAATTTTCCCTCTACAAGCTTTCTACCCCAGCTGCAATTTCTAATCCTCCCCGTGCAATCTGCCTCCTTCTCAATTGTGCTGATAAACCTATTTGTATAGCTGCGACATAAATTGCATCATTGAGATGATCCCTTTTTAAATGACTTCCCCCCCAATTAATGTGATTCAGTGATTCAATTCTAAAACCAGATGCATCAGCACAACTGAAAGAACTGCAAGCCACAGTTGCGAAGTGGTAATAACTTCATAAACCAGTTTGTCTCTGAAGTCAGTGCACAACTACCAGCTCTCAGAGAGAAGTTACTATGCTTTGCATAAGGCAGTAAGGATTATAAATACAATAATATCAATTACAGAAGATATTAGCAGCTCAATGGTACAATCAGCTACGTTTAAAGATGGTGTAAGCACTCAAAGTTCTTGTACAAGAGGATGGTGGCACGGCATACTAAAATCCACCCTCTTCACGGAAGAGAGAAGAAAGATGTTTCTGGAAAATAAGCCGAGAATGTAACATTTGAGGAAGAAAGAAAACTGCAGAAAAGACCCCAACCAAGCACACCAGCTCTCTGCAGGAGAAGAATATTTAAAGAACTTGTGACCCAACAAAGTTTGAAATTAACCCTACATTTAAAATTCCAGCTGATATTGATTTTGAGCTCAGACTATGGAAAGCTTATCTGTAAACATCTGGAACTAAAAGCTGAAAACGGTTCCATGTGTGGGGAAAGAAGAAACATTTTTATATTGAAAACCAAGAAAGGGAATGATACCAACGACATGATTATTCTGTCTGATATATACGCCAGTTAATCCTGAAAACAGCTAAAGCCATGGGGTGAGCATTTACCAAGGCCCTGGCATACTTTTATTCTCTGACCTAAGCTACAGCATCAGCATAATGGAAAGAACGTGTAACACTTTCGTAAGCAGATGAAGGAGAAACAGAAACAGCTGTTCTATCCCCAAATATATAAATGCATTTATATTTATTTTATATACACACACACTATATATAGTCTTGATTTTCCTGAGAATGAAGTATATAGGCAGAATTCAAGTTCTCTTTGAAGAGTTTTCCAAAGTCAGCACATCTGGCATCTGTGAGGTCAGAGGATCCCAAATATGCCTACTTTTATATTATTCTCATGTTATTTTAGCTCTTTTATTTTTACATGATAATAGCATAGAGGCTCTAGCTTAGATCAACCCTTCACATGCCAGTCTCTGTATAGCACTTAGGCCCTGTCTATTCGAGTCTAATGTTGTGGTGCACCTGCAACACGTTAGTGAACACTCCTTATATATTTGGGAAAACTACACCAAAATTTGCACTTAGATCTATTTAAATACAGATCTAGCTAAAGCGATGGAGATGTTGGTCTCCAAGGTCGGAGGTGATTAAGCCCTAGAACTTGCCAGGCAGAATGAAACTTTGGAGAATTCCTTAATTCTTAATTCTGTGCAAAGTTTCACAATTAACCTCAAAGTACCATCAACAGTGACTTAAACTGATTATAGTGTATGACACCGACGTGACGGAGATGAAGGATACCACACATTCTCTTCTTCCAGCTCAGCTCTGGGGCATTAACCTCTGATGGAGAAGAGGGGCAGAAGCAAGCTCATGCGGACTGCTCAGGTCTTAGACTGCTATATACCTTCTGCAATGATAATGCAAAAATGGTCCTAACTTAAATCAAGGAAAACATACTGAATGTCTCAGATGATGGGTGGAAAACACTATCACCAAATCTTTGTTGTAAATCTTAACTCGGCATGGATGACATTATACCTAATTTGATGAGATGTCTACTGTTCACTGACAAAGTCCGCATCAGTTCCTTTCGCTGCTTAGTACAGCTCCATCTTCTTCTCCCAAACTTTTCTGGACCTGCCTGTGTATTTTGCCCAGCAGAGCTGCTGGACAACATAAATTGCTATGAGAAAACCCCCAAGGAACTTAAGATGTCCTCCCCTGCAAGTGACTACAGTCTGCAGAAGAGTCAGAAACTTTGTTATCTTGGTCTCAAAGTCTTGCATATCTGGCCAAAAAGCAGCTTCATTTCAACCGCAAGAGTAGACACAACATTCAAAGGAGATGAGGCCAGAAAAAACCAGAGATAATAAAATGGAGATATTTGCAACCTTCATTTCAACCCATGCACCAAACTTTCCCTGCTTAGCTCTACAGTCTGTGCAAAGAAAGGCTTTTTAACTTCTGAAGGTGAATCAGGACAGCTAGAACTACAGCTTCTACTCTAAACAGCCTTTGAAGAAGATGGAAACCAGAAAGAAGCTCCCTGGTAACTGAAAAGACCTCCAGAAAACCTGGTCCAACCAGGCTACGAGTTAGCCTCTACCTGCCATGTCCACAGCTGGTAGAAAGTACAAATGAGTAGCAAGTGGAAGATGAGAGTTGTGGTCAATGGTGCAGAATCTAGCTAGATGTCTGTGACTAGTGGAGTGCCTCAGGGGTC